TCTTTCCCTTCTTTCCCTCCCTTCCTTCTCTCCCTCCCTACTTCCTTACTTCCCTTCTTTTCCTTTCCTTCCATGTTCTTCCTTCCCCTCCCTGACACCTCCCCACACCCAGCCCAGTGCCCGCCCAGCCCAGCCCTCACACATTCCCTGACCCTTGGCAATCCCGTCCCTTCACCCCAGCACAGCCCTTCTTTCCCAATATTCTCTTTCCAACCTTCCCAAACCCATTGCCAGCCCACCAGCCCTACCCCCACCACGCCCCAAATCCCAGGTAAAATGTTGCCAGGGGTGTGAGTGGGAGTTTGGGGTGTTCCTGTGCCACTCCACCCAGTACCAGGGGCTGAAGCTCCACTGCCTGTCCCTAAATCCGGCTTTTTTTTTCATTAAATCTCCCCCGTCTCCTTGGAAACTGGCAGTGCTCCCCAGCCCCGGGGTCCTCCTGGAAATGCAGCTCCCCAAAAGTTTGGGGCTCCCTGGGCTGGTTCGGGCTGGGGTGGGAGCAGGGATGCTCCGGTTCCTGGGAGCACTGGGAAGTGTGTGTTCGTACTGCTGGGGAGTGGAAAAGGAATATTGGGCAGGGTGTGCAGGCAAATGGAGAGGGAATCAAGGAAAGAAACAGAGCAGGAGGGGACAAGAAGGGAGCAGGGAGGGAGGGGTGCTGGAGCCGACATTCCAGGCGGTCCCGTTATGGTTGCGCTCAACATTTCCCTCCTGTTTTTCTGCTTTTCCAGTTTTAGGGATTATTTTTTTTTTTCCCCCTCTGGTGGGAAATGTCACATTGCAGATAGAGGATTTGCTTGTATGTATATTTTGGGGGGCTAGGCAGGACACCTCAAATCAAACACCCTCCTAATGAGCTCTTTGTCCCTAAATCCGGTTTTCCAGCACTAAACCCATGTGGTCGCCCCAGCTTTTCCCCAGATTTTATTGGATCCAGGATTGCCTACCGCAGCCTGAGTTCAGAGGAAATGAATTCTACCAGGAGATGTAAAACATTAAAAATTAAAAAGGAGTTAAAACAGTCTTTACAGAATATTTTGTGTTTGCCAGCTCACCTTGGGATTTTGCCCTTTGCCCACGCATGTGCCCATTTAAATTAAACTCAGAAATGAACAGGGAGAGAAAACGTGGAAAGTACAAAAAGCCAGGGAAAAATCAGAGGAACTCCTGCCATGAATTAGCTTTTTCTGATAAAAACGAGCACTAGCTGGAGGAGCTCATCCCTGACAGACGGGGAAATACTCAGGAAAGAAAAGTAAAAGATAAAATGGGGAAAGCTAAATGCAAAAAGAGGTTTTAAAGAGGCTTTAAAAAAAAATTAATAATCAAAAGCTCAGGAAACAAAGAGCTTTTCCAGGCAGGTGGGACACTGTGCCCCAGTTCAGTAAGGACTTGGTTTTCTTGAGCATATTTTGCTCAAATAGATTTTTTTTGGCAGGGGGAGAAGTAAACTTTGTTGATTTGAAGCAAATCAGCAGAGAAACAAAACTTTCCGCGCTGCTGCTTGGGAGATGCCGGCGGCAGGGACGCGGCTGGCGCTTCCCAAACCTCCCCTGCACGGATCCTCCCGTCACAAAAAGACAAATGAGAAAATCACCGACCCACACACGCAAACTTGAGGCAGCACAAAAACTCCTTCCCCCAGAGAGGTTTGTTTTAGGGGCTCCCTGCCCGTGGGGACACAAATGGCACTGCGGGAAGGAGCATTTTGCTGGAGCCTGTGGAAGGGGAGGTTTGGGATGCTGGGATGCAGAGCCCAGGGATGGCTGGAGAGTCACCGTGGCTGCGTCCTCGTGCTCTGCAGTCCTGGGGACCAAGGCATGGTGCTGGTGGCCCTGGGTGGCTCACAGGGCGCTGGTGACAAACCCTGGGGGACAGACGGTGACAGGGCACGGGATGGTGCCCGGGGGCTTTTCTCCAGGTCTCTCCCTTTCCAGAGATCCATTATTTTGCTGGGCTAAATCCAACCCGAGTTCAGGGCTCCAGCAGCCCCAACATTGCACACGGGAAGGAGAGAGGGAGAAACAGGGAGAAGGACAGAGAAAGAGCCACCAAGAACAGGGATGTGTGGGATCCTGGGGCACCGGGGCTTCAGCTCGTGAGAACGCAGCTCAAACACTTGTCCCTCTCCATCCCCAGCACCTCTGCTCAGAGCATCCTGCCTGATCCAGGTTCCCCCTTCTCCTGCCTGGAAAGTTGATGGCTCTCCCCAAATACGCAATTGGGAACTCCATGCCCTGGGGAGCCACAGAGCAAACGCATCCCTCCCTCCCTCCCTCCCTCCCCGCGAAGAGATTTGGCAAAGCTGGGGCGGGAAAGGTCACGTTAGCCAAGGTCTGCTTGTAATGAAAGTTTTTTGATTAAAAAATTCAAAAATAAAATAACACCCCTCTTTGATTTTGCTTCCTTCACCTCGGGGAGCTGCCAGCAGAACCCCTTTTGTCTCGGCCCTGCAGAAGCAGCCGAACCCTCCTGGTCTCCCGTGCCCGGCCTCGCCCCTTCTCCGTCACTCGCCGGCTGCGATTAAAATGGAAGACAACCATCAAGTGTGCTAGAACCATTTTAATATAATTATACATATCTGCCAAATCCAGGAAAAAAAAAGGTTTATGCATATATATCTTTTTTTTTTTTTTCCTTTTTTTTTTTCAGTTAACATCTGCAAGCATAAACGACAATGAATTTCTCGGTTTAAATTCATCCAGGTCAGAGCAACTGCCCAAAGTCCTGTTGGATTTGACGGTTACTGCCGGCGTGGCCAGCAGTAAGTGAGCTCCAGAGGAGTTAAATGTCCTCGGGTGGGGTATTTTCGGTCTTTCCTCTTTCATTCAGAGACAGTTTGTTGTAAAAAGTTTCAGTGCAGTTCACCTCGGGTGAAAGGCGATCGTGTTTTTTGCGTTTTTTCTTTTTTTTTCTTTTTTATTATTTTTTTAAATATATATTTTTAATTATTATTTTTTTTTTTTAAAAGATGATAATAGGTAACTCAGTTGCTCTGAATTTCACTTATAATTATAACCTATTTAAATCACAGCAGAACTCCAGCTGGTGCAGAGTTCATAGTTGCATACAATACAGGAGATCACAGTTTTGAAGTCTAGCACAGATTAAAAACCACAGATGTACCATTTATATAAGACACACACTGATTGTCTCTTAAAAACTACATATTGACTCCTTATGAACATTATCTTTTTTTTTTTCTTAATCTTTAAATAAAGTAGTGCAGCTAGGACAATCAGTCACACAACCCACACAGCCCTGAACCAAGTTCTCCGGGTGCCAACTTCAGCAAGTTGGGCATGAAACAGTTGGGTGAGCTCGAGAGAGAAAGAAAGAGGGAGGGACAAAAAGAGGGAGAAAAAGAGAGATGTTGTCCATTCTGAATATTTTAACCGAGGGTTGGCTAACACATTGGAAACCTCTGGGTGAAGGATCATCTTTCCACGCACACACAAAAAAAGAAATAAAAACCTAGACTCCTTTTTTTTTTTTCTTTTTTTTTTCTTTTTTTTTTTTAAAACTGGCCCGCAGGTGGGAAGATCTCCCACCTCTTCCAAACAAAGAAACCCAACAATTGGCTAAAACTAGAAAGAACACAGATGGGTCTGTCTGGTTTCTGCTCACTAGATGATCTGTCCGTTTAAGGCCTTCCTCCTCCGTTTTTCCTCTTTATTATTCCTTTTCCAGAGCGTCTGAGCAGGAGATGAGTCTGAACGGGATCACACCAACACTGTCCCCCTCTTGTTGCTGTCAGTTTTTTTGTTCGTTTGTTTGTCCGTGGAGTTATTTTTTTCTCTTTAATTTAACCAAGACCTGACTAAAACTGGAGCGCTCAGCCCAGCCTGTTCGTTCTCGTCGCGATTTCTCTCGGTATCACAAAGGTTCTTCACAAAACCTGGAACTTCCATGACGATGTCTGGTCCTTATAATCCAAGCAGTCAGCATTGAAGTTTAACTTCCAGGAGGCGGTTTGGTCTTTATAATCCAAGCAATCGGTGGTGGAGTTAAAGCCCAAACTGGAGGCTCCGTAGCCCTGGGTGGAGAGGGAGGCTGGAGACTGGTTGAGGTGGCTGGTGACCGCGTTGGCACCCATGGGACTCAGGGTGGCCCCCGGCCCGGGGAGCTGGTGGTGCATAGGGGTCAAGTAAGATCCACAGTCCATCCCTCCGAAATAGGAGGTCGATCCAGCGTATCCTTGGCTGTAGCCTGATGCCTGGGTGTAGGTCATGGGATAGGATCTCTGCATGCAGGAGGAAGAGGTGGACAGGGGGTCTGAGAGCGGGGAGATGGACGCTGGGCTCCAGATGGACACGGGGGCACTGCTGCTGGAAATGGTGGGGACTGAGGTGCTGGAGGGGGGAGTGAACTGCCCGCTGGTCCCACTCTCCGAGCTCACTTCCCGGGCTGGTGAATTCTTCTTTTTAGCTGGCCGTACCTTGTTCTGGCCCCCGTTCTGCTGCTGCTGCTGCTGCTGCCGGCACTTGGCCCGGCGGTTTTTAAACCACACCTTGAGACAGAGACACAAGGGAGGGAGAAAGAAAAAGCCTGGGGTTAGGGATGCACGGGCAAACCCAAGGCAGGAAAGAGATGGTGGCAGGGAGACCTCGCTGGGGAGGGAGGCCTAAAACTGTCCCCCAAGAGCAGAGGGTTGCAGGCTGCTGCAAAGAAAAGCTCCGGGGCTCCCCCTCCCTGAGATCATTAGCAGTAATAAGAAGTAGAAATCACAAATCAAACTCCTTAATAAGGTCGTTTTTGGGGAGAAGGGGAAGCATTCCCTCTTTGCTGTTTGCCAGCTGGGGACCCCCAAGAATCACCGTTCTAGGCCTATTGAAGTCGAGCCCTTAATTAGAAGCAATAGGACATCAGAAAAGGAGGGAACAATTAGGGAAGCAGAGTTTTGGGATGGGGAGGGGAGTAAAGATGTCTCATTTACCTTCTGAACGGGCTCCCTGCTTTCACCCCCTCGGCCAGAGTTGGCCCCTCAGCAGGGCCCAAGGGGGCTGGCTCTGGGGAGGTTTTGTGGGGAGGAGGATGGGGTTTGGCATGGGGGTATCCCAATCCCAGCCACCACGGGAACACGGCACCACACAGCCCTGGGAAACCTGTCAGGAGACAGGTGGGAGGGATGGCTTTGGAGATACCCTGTCCCTGCTGCTGGGGAGTTCTAGGTCCTGGGGCAGGGGGGCAGGAGCCTCCTGTCCTGCCAGCAGCACCTCCAAAATGCTGCCTGGAGGGGGTCCCTGCAGGCTCCTGCAGAGGAGACACAGCCCAGCCCCAGGAGAGGGGTTCCCTCAACCAAAGCAGCTCCTCTCTCATCAGAGTCCCTTCAGAGGGGGAGGAAGCTCCCAGTCTGTACTGGTGGGAGCCGGGATCCCAATCTGGCCCAGCTCAGGGGATGTGGTGATCCCTGGGGATGGGGAGATCCTCTGTGGCTTCTGCAGGGCCCCCAGATGTCCGCAGGACAGGCTGGGATTTGGGAGTGCTGGGGATGGGTATGGAAGGTTCAAGAGCTGGGATCCCTCTCAGTGCAGAGGGAGGAAGGGGGGGCACACCCCAGCCCTGGGGATGCAAAATGCCACCACATCCCCTCACTGCACCTCCACCCATCTCTGAGCCTCCTTCACCCCACAAGGGCTTGATTTGGCTTCAGGACTGACCCCATCCCCTAAACCAGTCCCCTCGTGTCTCCCTGTCAGGCACGGGCCAGTCCAAGCCCTTCTCGGCGGTTCGG